TGTAGCCTCTTAACTGTTGTTGATCTGGGTTGAGTTTTCCGCTCACTGGTAAGTTTCAGTAACCACATGGTAGGTGCCTTATGATGCCCTTCATGTAAAGGCCTCCAATAACAACAAACTTGAGCCTTTGTCTGAGCTGCCAGGTACCTACTTCTCTCATTTTGTCCCCAATAGATAGCTAAAAGTCTGGTTTCTGATTAAATGTTGCCACTGGACTTAACATTTCTGGCACCCACATCCACACCCTAAACAGCATGCATTGTCTATTGTATGAAAAGGTCGGTCACTGGCCAGTTTGACTCAGCCTCTCAGATAGCTGATGACAGAGCCCAGTGCCTGGTCTGCTCTCCGAGTCCTGCTGCCTAAACTCTGCTTATGCCCCTGATACCAGGAGTGGGCTGAAGAGGAGTGGAATAGAATAACAAGTTGATTTTTGGCAAAAATACTGCCACCTCTGAAGGTCCATTTGCCCAGGGACTGAAAATATCTCCTGAGCTGGGAACTGACTCTGCCGATAGAGAAAGTCAAAGATAAAGTCAGGTTAATGGGGGACTGTGGTGCCTTCTAGAAGCAGAAAGCCAAAGAAGTAAGTTGAGAACAAGTACCAGATTTCAAAAGCTGGAGCCCACCCTAACAGGGTCTCCCAGGAAGGGTAGAGCCCAAGGCCCCAGTGAAGGAGGAAAGATGTCAGTGTCTGTGCATTGGGCACACAGGCCAAGCACAGCTCGATCATTTCAGCTGTCATCTGACAGGACTCCTCAAAGCTCATAGTGCATTGGAATTGACATATGAGTGGTAGCTGGGAGGGGGAGGAGTCAACATCCTGATTTCTAATTTTCGGCTGCGTAGTACAGCAGGAAGAGGGGTGTGACCACGAATTCGCATAACCAGAATTTCACTGCTGTTGACACTTAGTGTTTGAAAGAAAGCCACAGATCCCCATGACCACTTGACAGGGTAAACTCACAGACAACACCATCCAGGCAGGGTTGTATATAAGTGCACATTTTATAAATATTTTAATATCTGACATTTTCCCCAATAAAACATCAAAGTAGGTCTCATGGAAGAAGCTAGACTCTCTTGAACTTACTTAATTTGGGGTTTTATTATTTTTTTCCATTCTGATTATACATGAGGTGTATCATTCACATTTGAGAGACCATAGTCTTTGCAGAGAGACCTCTGAAAGTCTTAGTCTGGCTTCGTTGACCCACGCTGAGCAGATGTGGAGGAACACAGCAGTCTCATGTGGCTGTGCCTACATCAATTGCTTGTTCTAACCCAGAAGTTTTCTAATTGTCAGAGCGCAGAAGTGTTCCCTTCCCCTGGGTCAGCATTATAAAATTTCTCCTGTTCCTTTTAGAGGGTTTTGCAATAAGCCCGCGTCATATTCACCAAAGCTAAGAATTCACAGTAATGGGGCTTTGTAATTTCTCACGCTGAAATCCCCTAATTTCTTGTCAAGAACCAACTTGGAAAACACCACACTGGAGACTTCGAGTTTTGTTATTAACTTAAGCAGCCTCTGGTTTTCATCAGACTTTTAATGCTTCCTCCCTCCTCTAAAATGGTGTTTCTGAAAAACACAATGTAGAGGCTCTGTTAGAACAAGTAAGGTCGATGCCTGAAACGAACAGTCTGGGCAACTTAGCAAAGTCCACATCCAGTCAATGAAAGTAATCACCTTCATTATGGTCAGTACTAGTGTTTGGGCTTTTGATGTTGCTATTAAGAATCATTGTTTTATCCCAGTGGCTTGGGAGGCTGAGACAGGAGGATCATGAGTTTAAAGCCAGCCTCAGCAAAAGCAAGGTGCTAAGAGCCACTCAGTGAGACCCTGTCTCTAAATAAATACCAAATAGGGCTGGGGATGTGGCTCAGTGGTGGAGGCCCCTGCATTCAATCCCCAATACCCTGCCCCCACACCCCAAAAAATCATTGTTTTGGGGAAAAAAAATTTTGTCTTTCTTAATTTTCTTTCATCTGGATCCTTAGCACCACTCCTAATCAGCCAAAGCACATGGGGTAGGCTTCAGTGCCCACTTGGGGAAGCTTGACTCTAGGCCAGGCGCCTGACTGAGAGGCCGCTAATCTCATTCAGTGAGATGTTTGACCTGGGATTTGCTGAAATGATGAGTCACCTTTCTACCAAGAGGTGATTCCTAGAAACCTTTGGGGGCTCCTGGTATGTTGGGAAAAGGAAATTTAGAAACCACTCATGAAAGCATCAACCTTGAGTAGGGCCTCCTCTCTTTGTCTGAGAGCCTCTGATCATGAGTTCAGCCCACATAGGGTGAAGGAGGAACTTCCTCCATGTTCCAGATCCGACAGGCATCATCCTAAAACTCAACAAGGAGGTGGCAAGTAGTGAAAGGACTTTCATTGACCTAAGTTCCTTGGCATCAACTATACCAAAGTACCTTGCCTAAGGAGGAATTTAAGACTGAGCCCATGCATGGGACCTATTAAGAGACCCCTATTCCTTCTTTCTCAATCTATATAAGACAAATTCTTTTTCTTTTGTTTGAAAAAATTATCTGTTTACTAGAGTCATAACTATATAAAACTTGGAAAATTATACAAAATATCAAAAAGAAAATAAACTAACACCAAGCCACAATTCAATGTAAATATTTTGATGAAGAAATCCTTTTTAATTTTTCCTGTATATATTCTTGTAAAAATTATTGAGATGAGCCGGATGCAATGATACATGTCTATGATCTCAGTTACTCAGGAGATTGAGGCAAGAGGATTGCAAATTTAAGGCCAGCCTGAGCAATTTAGCTGTCTCAAAATTAGAAGGTTCAATCTCCAGTAGCCAGGGCGGGTTTTGCTCCACTTTCTACTTAACATGCTCTTTGAAAACATGATTTTTAATGTCTATGTTTCCACGTATGGATACATCTTAACTTTCCATGGACATTTTGATTACCACCAGTGTTGCACTGTTATAAATACATAAACATTCTTAAGATAAATCCTGTGGACATCTTAGGAAAAGTCCTTAGAAATTGGAGCACATGGTTCAATGACCTGCTTTAGAGCTCCTGATGAGCACTGGTGTATAGACTCCAGAAAGATCTCAGTGTCTATTTCCAAACCTTGGTGCCCTTTATTTCTCAAAGTAAAATTCAGGCTCCCAGGCCATAGTGGCATCAGAGGCATCCCAAAAATATGCATTTTAATTCATCCTCACAATTCTTACGCACATTAAAGTCTGACAACCAGTAGCATGCCATATTCAACTAGTTCAATGTACATTCAATTTGACAAACATTTATGATATAAAATAAGTAAAGCAGAGCTGGGTTGTAGCTTAGTGGTGGAGTACTTGCCCAGCATGCTTGTGAAGCACTTGGTTCAATTCTCAGCACCACATATCAATAAATAAAGATCAAAATGGTACAAACTTTGTGCTGGGGTTGTGACTCAGTGGTAGAGCGCTTGCCTACCACGTGCGAGGCACCGGGTTCAATTCTCAGCACCGCGTACAAATAAATGAATAAAATAAAGTTCCATCAACATCTAAAAAAAAGTATTTAAAAAAATTGAAATCTTTTAAAAAAAATGGTAAGACTTTAAAATTTTTTTAAAAATCAAAAAATAAGATAAGTAAAGCAACCCCAAACTAGTATATTGTCCTAGCCTCTTTTGTGCTCCTATAACAAAGTACCTGAGGCTGAGAATTTCATAAAGAAAAAAGATTTATTTAGCTCACAGCACTGGGGGTTTGAGAGAATATCTGCTCAGCTCTGACGAGGGCCTCATGATAAAGGGCAGAATCACATGCAAGTGTAGGAAGTGGTACACACAGAAGAGGGACTTAGAGCTGTGCCAGGCTGTCTCATCACAATCCTCCTCACAGGAAGGAATCCCATCCCACATGGCCTATATTAACCCATTCTGAGGAATGTGCCCCATGACCTAATTTCCTTTCACTGGGCCAGGCCCCACCTCTTAAAGGTCCCACCACCCTCAACACACCACAATGAGAACCAAGCCTCTGGTATATAAAGTCCTAGAGGACAAACCATACCCACGCTATAGTACATTTCTCAATCAGAGTTTACCTTGAAGCCTTTTTTTTTTTTTTTTTTTTTATTCTGCAGTTTGGGATTTCCTTTGGTATGGTATAATAAGCTTATTCTTTGCTAGGGAACCAGGAAACCTATTATAAATATGAGATCACAGAGGTCAACATGGTTCATTTACTTCCTGGGTGGTCACCCAGACATTCAGTGACAGAGGTTGAACTAGACAAAGACACACCAACCACTGGGTAGTAGACAAAAGGAATCAACGAGAAGATTCACTCCTGAAGCCATCCCCTCATCCCCAGGAGGGGCTCAGGTATCTATCCTAGTCACCTAAGGAGGCCAGACCACCAGCACCCTGCACCCTGAGATGGTAGTAAACTAGATGCAAGAGGACCCAGGGCAGCCTTGCAGAGGGTGTCCAGGAGGTCCAACCACAAGAGCAGAGCACAGGGGTGAGTCCAGAGTCAGAAACCAAGAGAGCAGAACGGAGTTAGGCAAGTGCCAGACTAAAACACCTGGGCAGATCTCCAGGCAAGTCAGCCTCGAGATGAGAAGAAGGAGAGCCAGGGCTGGAGGGGAGCTGTAGCAGAACTTCAGACAGGAGGGCCTCCTCTCCAAAGCGGAAAGGTTCTGTGGCTGGCCCACCTCAGACAACAGGGAGGGGACAGCAACGGACCTCAGGGCAGGGACTGAAAATGGAAATTTAGAAAACAACCATAGGTCCTCCTCACCTTCTAAGAGGAAGTGTGACACTCTCTCCTGCCTGTGGAACAAGCGGAAACCAGCAGGCCACATCCACCAGTCATGCTTGGTATCTGAGGGCCCCAGTGCCTCCTCTCCTTCCATGACCTCAACTGCTGGAAGGCCCCCATTGCATCATTTGACCTTCAGGTTTTGCCTTCACAGACAGCTCAGCTCCCCAGAGTCCCCAATTGGTGTCTGGGTTCTGTAACTCACCTGTCAGTTTCCTGCGTGGTTCGCTCTGCCATGACAGCTGGGGAAGCATTAGAGCCAGACCCCTCAGGCGCGCCCCACCTGTGCCATCCTCCATGCTCAGGCACCAGGGAGTTGGCCTATGATCACCAAGTTTTACTGATTCTGCGTGTGCCGCCGTTAACTCATGGCTGTCCCCACTCAGGATGGCTCCTCTCCTGATTCATCCCAAACTCATCCACCTGGGGAATCCAGGTTCACAATAAGTATAGATTCTGGCAATGTCAATAGTTTTCCTTACATCAGAGGTTCAACTGATAGAAGCCCGAGAATGACACGGGCAGTTCAAGTCCTTATGGTTTGCCTTGTGCAAAGCCCATGTCCATGTTGTCCTGAACAACGTCCTCGGCCGAGGCACCTCCTCATGATACTCAGATGAAGTTCTGATTACTCACAGGACTTGGATCCCCAGCCAGGAAAGTCTATGTTGTGACAATGTGCCATCAGATCTAACCCTTTGAGGGCAGAAATTGGAGCTCCATGAAATGCAGACAAGGTGTTTGGATCCTGATTGAAAATATTGGGTGGTCACAAAGCAGGAAGTTCAAAGGCAAAAACGTATTCAGTGGGTTCTGTGATCTGGCAAATGCCACTGATATTCCCACCTTTATTTGTTTATGTTGACTCTAAGTCCCACTTCCCCTCACACTAACTAACTAACTAACTAACTACTAACTAACTAATCTGGGAGGGGGGGAAGCATTTATATAATCTTAGGTCAAAGCTGCTGCAGGAGGGCACTGGCCCAGACAAGCTCTACCCCTTCCCATAGGAGCGTGTTGGGCCAAGGGCCATTGCCTGCTGGGCCAAGGGCCATTACCTCTGAGAGGTCAGCATCCCCTGAAGGAGATGTGCCACCTCAGTAGTCAGAAGCAACTGGGCAAAACTGAAAGCTCCTACCATATCCAAAGAGACCATTCCTGTTTCCCATCATCTAGATGTCAGCACAAAATGCTGTGTAGACAGCTACCAGGAACAGTGGGAGATATCTGAGGCCAACTCCCCAGGATCTGCAGACCCCAAACTTTACAAGCCAATCTTGACTGTGGATCATCAAAAAAAAAAGAGAATGGCTCAAATTAAAAGTACTGATGTCAAATACTGACAAGTGTTAAGCAGGATGGATCTCTCATAACCTGTTGATGGTAATGGAAATGCACAGCCACTCTTTGAGACGGTTTGATGGTTTGTTATAAAGCTAAACATATACTTAACCTATTATCCAGAAGTTCTCTCTTCCGTAGTTACACAAGAGAAGCAGAAGTGGACGTTCATGCAGTAACCTGTACATGAACGTGCATAGCAGCTTTGTTTTTAATAGCTACAAACTGGTGACAAGGCAAATGTCCTTCCACAGTGTGTGGATAACCACCTGTGGTACATCCAGAACTTGGAACACCATTCATCCAAAAAAAGTGCTCACTGTTCACCTGCAAATTGAATGAATCCCAACAGCATTATGCTGGGAGGAAGGAGGCCAATCTCAAAGGGTTACATACGGTAAAATTCCAAATTCCAAATACCAAATTACAGCGATAGGAACAGATAGGGATCAGGGCTCAGGGCTGGGGCAAGCATGCAACTAGGGGGTGGCACAGGGATTTGTGATGATGGGGTAGTTCTGTGACCCAACTACGTGACCGATGTAGACACACAATAACATTTCACAGAACCACAGAGACACTTACAGAGAGCACGTTAAATCTGGGAAATCAGGCAAGATCTCTGCCTGACCTAAGAGTGTACCAGTATCCATCGCTCGGTTTAGACAATGTTGAGGGGAACAATAAAGCATATACTTATTGTACTTATTATTTTTTTTTTTTGGTGTGACTTCTTGTGGTTCTATTTTTAAAAGAGAGTTTCAAAAGCAACTTTAAAAAAATTTTTTTTAAATAAGTCTTAAGAAAAAGAGGAGGGAGTTCCCCACCTCTGGGGATGGGACTCCTATTGTTTACTTTTCCGCCTTCTAATTTGTGGTTGGGCCTCCACAGAGTCCTGGTGGCTTGGGCCTGACCCTCTGCCTTTCAGAGCTAGTCCACCTCTGATGGAATCAAAGCTCCAGGATTCCAGCACAGAGTGTGAACACGCCCCCTTTCCCCTCCCAGAGACTGTAACTTCAAAGCTGGGTAAAGATCTAGAGATCTAAGAAAGGGTCTTCCAGTGAAAATCGAGGACAAATCATCCTTCAAGCTCCTGCGCAGTAATTTCGTTTCTGGAATGGCTCTTTGTCTGTTCTGCCCTTCACACAGATTATTCTCTTCACCTTCGTCAAACGGCCCCTCCTCTAATGGAGGGAGATTAACCCTTCTCTGCCCCTTTGTTCGAATTCAGTTGAGGGCTTTCTTGTAACAGCACCTCTCTCCAGGCTGGGTGCCCGATGCCACAAGCTGTATACTACCCAATGAGGTGGCTGCCTCCCCTCCAAAGTATTGATGCCTCTGTCCAACACCTTTTTGCCAGACTTGGCCCTGGAAAGAAGGTTTTGAAATTAAATTTATCGTGAGCTGCCTGTGTTGGCAGTTCAGCATTACACAAGGCCACGGGCATTTGGGTTAAGGGGCACTCTTGGTGCTCACTACCTTCAGAGCCCTTTCTTAATGAGATTTGAGCTTTATTTACTCCTCTGCTCTGCAGAAGGGCCTCCAGCATCACCTAAGACCAACGCTGAGCATATGGGCTGAGGCCTATGTGGCATCCTGTCCGGACGTGACAATCCACTATCGTACAAGCCACTGTTCCTCCATTACTGGCCTTATTTATTCAGGGGACTCATTTCAAGAGACCATGGTGAGAAGGACAGAGGTGTAAATTTCTTGGCAGGAGGTAAGTTGGCCATCAGGACAACATGCTAGAAAGGTGACAATTTGAATGGTTGACTTTCGTAGGTGTTGGTGAATCTCCTCGTTTTGCACCTTTTGGTTTCAAAACCAGACTGAACAATGTAAAACGAAACTTGCAACTTATTTTTAGCTGTTTATGCTAACTCATGAGATTTTTCTTTGCAAACTAAATAGAATAAAGATAACTTCAGCTGGCTAAACTTAGTCTGATTGACTTAAAATAGTAGTCAAGCCTAGTTCTCCAATTCTTCTTAAGTGATACTTGGTTCCAGGTAATTTTTGACCAATATTTACTATTTTGGTTAAAACTACTTTGAGTTGTGGTTTTTAAAAAATCAAGTATGCCATAACATTTTCTTCTAAGAGGAATTGAGAAACATCTTATAAACCCTCTCTACAGGCATCTATTCATTAACCATCTAATCAATAACTACTTATTAAATATCTAAGTGACAGGAATTTTTTTTTTAATTGAGCCAGTGTATATAAGAGCAGAATACTAAAAAATTAAGGAATATAGCTTCTATCGGCTGCTAGGGTCTTCAGGTATGACATTGTCTTTGAACTCAATTTTCTTCTTCCTCAAAAAAAAAAAAAAAAGGTATAGCTGGGTACCTGTAATACTAACTACTCAGGAGGGTGAGGCAGGAGGATTGAATGTTTGAGGCCAGCCTGGACAACTTAGTGAGACCCTGTCTCAAAATAAAAAATAAAATGGGTGGCTAGATGTGGTGGTGCACACCTGTAATCTCAGTGGCTTAGGAGACTGAGGCAGGAGGATTGCAAGTTCAAAGCCAGCCTCAGCAACTTAGAGAGGCCCTAAGCAACTTAGCAAGACCCTTACTCAAAAAAAAGGGGGGGCTGGGGATGAGGCTAAATGGTAGAGCACCCCTGGGTTCAATCCCCAGTACTGGAAAAAAAAAATTAAAAGGGCATAGATGGTGTTGTCCCCATCCTGTAATTCTAGGAAACACACTCTGCCACCAAGGGCCCGAGGAAATGTTGAGGCACATTTTAGAGACCCTGGTGGTATTGGAAGGCCACTCTCATTTCCGGCTCTCCATTCCCTGTTCCAGGAAGGACAGGTTTGCACACAGCACTGTGCTCTGCCTGCCAGTCAGTGTGGCTGCCCTTGGTAAACAAGCCACGAAGTCCTTGAAAGACTTCTATGGGGGTTTTCAGCCCCAGGGCCATTCCCTAACTCACCCAGCAAGTTCTCAGGTTTTAGGAAGTGGCTTCAAAACCTAAAGCCGGAAGATGCCACTGGTGGGGGGAGGCAAGAGCTTCCCCCAGTGAGGCCTGCCATTGCTCGAGGCTTCAGTGCCATGGCACACATGAAGCTGTCCCAGAGGAAAGCAGAGACAGGAGTAAAGGGAGATAATTCAATACAACAAAAACATATTGTGCTTTTATCTTGAGTCCAGAGGGAGTGAAGGGCTCACTGAGGTTTGTTAAGCGGCTCTAGCTGAGAAGATGAGCGTGCTTGTGGCTCTTGTGAGCTGTGAAGTCATTTATCTCAGAGAGGAGAAAACAAGTAAGTTTGTTCCTTACTTGTTTACGTAAGTAAATAGTCTAGGAATATTTGTTGCCCAAGGTGAAGGAGGACACAAGGAGAGGATTCTGCTCTCACATGAGGAGGATTTATGGATCTGTACAAATGCTTCCTTGAACCCCTTCATTTATATCCCTACCTTCCTTTTTCAATACAATTATCAGCCTCTCTGGAAAGAAAAATCTCAACTTTCTGCTGAATGTGTGTTTTGCTAATTCAGGATCTAGACAACCCTGTTTTTAAGTTGTTCTTCATTCTGTGAGTGGCCAGAGGTCAAAGCAGCTGGTGAGCACGTGGGTAGGCGCGTAGGGAAGCTCTTGATCTCTGAGGGCACTCAAGGTCATATTTAGTGCCATGTTTCAAATGCACTGAGAAATGAAAGCAGGAACTCTTTCATTTCTATCTCAAGCTGAGGTAGTGTTGTCCATACTGGTGAGGACACCTGCTGCAGACAGCCCCACAGGAGGATCTGAATTAGGTTAGGGTAGCTGTCCACCGCAGCCTCCCTTGAAGCTCTGTCATTTATCACTTTTTCTGTGTGGAAAACCATATAGTTCACATTTCCTTCTTCTTCCAGCTTTTTCCTGGAGAGTGAACCTCAGTTGGTCCCCTAGGCTTGCTGCCCAAACCTTGACACCCTTTCCCACATCTTTCACGGATGCTAATGGACGGAGGTGAGAAAGCCAATGTTGAAGAATGGGAGGTAGCTTCCTGGAGTCTGACATGTCCTAGAGTTTGACATGTCTACACCTCACAAGCACTGAGCAAGAGAATCCTCTCATATTCCCAGGCAGGGTGGAGCTGGTTGATTAGAAAACCCCCTTTGAGAGCCATCTGGCTGCCATATAAAATTACTGCCAATGAAGTGACACAGTCATCTGGTCACAAACACCAGGAGGCGGGAGACTTGGAGTCCAGCACTTGGCCTATCCAACCTGAGAAGGCAGGATGGGCTGGATGCTTTAGAATCACAAACGTACAGAGCTGGAAGGGACCTTAGACAGGGAAAAAATGAACAGATTTTAACATATAGAATCATTTGTT